CAAAGCTGAGCTTCCCCTGCAGCCCGTGGTGCAGCAGCTGTCCCCCTGCAGCCCATGGAGGAGCACCGGGGTGCAGAGATCCACCTGCAGCCTGTGGGGGAGCTCCCGTGACAGTGGGTGGATGCCCAAAAGAGGCTGTGAGCCCGTGGGAGCCCCATGCTGGAGCTGGGTCCTGACAGGGATGTGCTGGACATGGAGAGAGGAGCCCACGAAGGAGCAGGTTTCCCTGGCAGGACCCACAGTGGAGCAGCTTGTTCCTGAAGGAATGCACCCCATGGAGACACCTGGACAAGAGGCAGCTGAGCCCCCTGCCACGGGGACACCACAGCCCTCAAGTGCTCACCTCTGCCCCACACTGCTTCTCATCATCCCAGTGGAAGAATGGGAGCAGGCCCTGGCACACCTCCGTCTTTCCCTCTTTCGCTACCAACTCCATCACCTCTTGGAAGAGGCGAATGGAGAGCAGCTGCACATGGCTGTTGTCCTGGAGCAGAAGAAGACAAAAAGATCTCAGCACTGGCTGCTCCAGGTGCACCTGGAACAGGCTTTAAAATCCACAGGGCACAAAGTTCCCTGGCAGCACCAGATCCTTACATTTTCAAACAGTGGCTGGAGTGTCTCAGCCAGCTTTGGAGCAGCGCAGCTGAATGCCTGAAGGTCTTCATTCCGGAGCACATTCAGGAAGACAGAGAGCGTCATCTCGACCAGCTCTGTGTCTTCATGATGCAGCAGCTCCAGGACCCACGCTGCTGTCCCAGGGCCCAGAGGCAGAGGGAGGCAGGAGAGCTGGGAGCAGCTGCCACAGCTCCCAAAGCCCAGCCAAGCCCAAGCTACTGCACTCCCCAGGCCCAGGCTGCCAGTGTGGCTTCAGCCGGGTGTCCCTTTCTCACCATCAAGGGTTCCACACTGAGAACAAGGAGCCCTCTCAGTGCCAGGCGCCGCCGCTCAGGGCACTGGCTCTGCAGGTTCCTTGATAGGATGGGCAGGACCCTCTCATGACACTTTGTCCCATCCAGATAGTCCAGGATCTGGAAGGCAGAGAGCAGTGCTGGGGTGCCAAGGTGGCAGGACCCTGGAGCCACTCAGGCAGGAGCCAGCTGTGCCCAGGCAGCAGTACAGGGCACAGGCACCGTCCCTGGCAGCTGTGGCTGTGAGATGGCAGAGAGGGGGAGGCAGGCAGGTGAGGCAGCGCTCTCCATCAGGCTCACCTCTACAAGGAACGCCAGGGCAGGGAGCTCCCAGAGGGGCTCCTCCCTGCTGAGCAGTCCGAGCAGGTGGATTGCTATCTGCGAATGGAAGGGCACCAAGACATGGCGCATCTCCCTGTCATGGGGAAAAAGGGACCCATCAGGCCTGAGCCAGGTGGTCAAAGCTCTCCAAGAAGAGACTCACAGAGGCCTGGACCTTCCCCAGCAGCCCAGCATGAGATGTGGGCGCTTTGGGAGGTCATTCCTCCTCTGCACCCAGCTCTCACAGCCTTTTCCAATCTGCTTGGACATCTCTTGGTGCCAAGGCCCTCTGGCCCACGGCCACAAGGGATGTGTGGGGTTCCTGGTGCCCAAGAGAGAGACAACAGGCGCAGTGGGGAGAAGGATGTCTCACCTGGCCAGCAGCCCCACTGCATAATGGTGGGTGTCTGAACACAGCAGTGTCTCCCAGCCACGCTTCCGTTCAATGGCCACCATCTCATTCTCCCAGTGCAGGCAGCAGAGCAGAGCCTTCAGGGTCTGTACTGCAAACCTGTGTGCAGAGCAAAGGCCAGGTCATGCTGGAAGCCCTGGTCCCAGCCCCAAGGGCATGGGAGGGAAAGAGGACAGGGATGGAGTACCTGTTGGGGTTGGCGGGAAGGCCATGTTCCTCCTGGCATCCCCTCCAGAAGGCATTGACCTTCTCCGGCATCTGCTCTGTGCTCATGGAAATTTGGAAGAGCAAAGCCACAAGAAGACAGGGGACATAATTGAAAACTGCATCCAGGCACTGGGGCTCCTGGATGATGAGCCGCAGTGCCAGGGTTGCCTGCAATAAAACCACACAGAGACAGTGCTCAGTGTGAGATGTCCATGTGGCAGGGTCCGAGCATGGGAGGGAGAGGCCAGGGGAGTCCCAGGGGGAGCAGCCAGCCTGGTGCCCCTGAACCTGCCCCTCTACCACATTTGCAGCCCAGTGCCTGGGGCAGAGGGATGCAGTAGTGGGGGAGGATGGAGAGTCGCTGGAGAGGTGACCTGGGGAGGAGGAAAGGCCAATTCCAGAAACTCACAGCCAGGGAAGAGACGTGTGTGTGGTCGTCATCAGAGCTGGACATGCCATGCATCGGCCAGTCCTGCATTGCTCCAAGCAGTGTGGGCAGCACCTTCTCCACTGCGGTTCCCGAGGAGGCGATGCTGCTCCACATCACTGCAGCAGCTCTGTGGAGACAGAGCTCTGGGTCAGGGGGGTCTCGGTTACAGTGCCATGGCCTGGGCAGCTGTGGGGGCCCAGGTGACAGAGCCATTGTGCCTCGAGGGACAGGGAGGGCAAATGGTTGCAGAACCAGGGGCTGATAGGCCAGGGCTGGGAAATGGAGGGGCTGGAGGGTCCTGGAACTCTCCATCTGCCTGGCAGACCAGGTGGGACAGGCTCTACAGGGTGATGGGTTCTAAGGGCTGCTGAGCCCTGAGCCACCAAAGTAGCTGAGCCCTGTACCTGTCACATGCTGGGGCACAGCACAGAAGAGTCATCACAACTTCATGAGGGTGTGCCTCAGCCAGCCTGCGGATGTCAGTGTGCATCCTGACATCTGGAGACACGTGGAATGTGAGGTGCTGGTGGATGGACCTCACAATGGCTGGCACCTGGAGGGGAAATGAGGGAGGGTGGCAGAGTTCCCAGAGCAAGGAAGTGTCCCCACTTCCCTTAGGAAGTTCTTCCCTTCCCACCATACTCTATGGCCTCAAAGGCTTGGGGGACCCAGCAGACCCAGCTTGAGGGGCCACAAGATCCCTGGGGCACTTGAGCCCTGACCACAGGCTGCTTACTTCCTTCATTCTGGAGACACCTTTCTCCTCAAAAAATTCCAGATGGGGAGCATCAGGGACACTCTGAGTGGGCGTGGTGTCAGCCTTTTCAATGCCGTCAGTCGTGGTGTCATCGTTCGCCTTGACATCAGTTGGTTCCATTTCATCGTGGATTGTGTCAGCGGTCAAGGCAGTCTCAGGGGTTTCTGTCCCATCTATGAGTTCCGTGGCTGAGCCTGAAGTGCCATCAATCAGCACTGGTGCGATGTCAGCCTTGGCCATGATCTCAG